GAGGAGGAGGGGCTCCCGTAGTTCCCCAACCGTTTCCCAAGAAGCGAGGCGAGAAGAGCGGGCGAACAAAACGCACCCGGGATGTCTTCTCTTCTCTCAGTCTCAAGTGCGTCCTGGGCCTCGCTGCCGCCTGCGTCTGTCTCGCTCTCTCTCTCTCTCTCTCTCTTTCTCTCTCTCTCTCTCTCATATCAGGCTTCTTCTGCGAATGCTCCCACTCCCGTCCCACGCTATGAGGTCGCCCAAGACATTTCCAAGACTTACACACAGTCCACAGGACGGCCCTTGTCCACCTTGTGCAGACCCCGTCTTGGCTCTTCTTAAACCCTGGGCGAGCGAACCCCTCCAAGTGCGCCTTTCCACCGTGCGAGAGTGCCCATGCTGCCACGAAATGCCCCTCTCTCACACTTCCCATCGCGTACGGTCGTTGGCCCCCGCGCCGTCGCATCTGAAATCTCACACTTCCCTCTCGCGCGTCAGGATGCAGCCAGCCAGCCAGCCCATGCCAATCCATACCATGCCATGCCATACCATGCCTTACCGCCGTGCCATACCCACTACCGTCCGCAAAGCCGCCTTGGGCCTTTTTCTCGTTGCAGATGTCGGTTCTTGGCGGAGCCCCAATTTCACACGCTTGCCCGCCCTGCGCAACGCTGCACGGCACCGCAGGCCGGCGACCACCCAAGTCCCTCTGGGCAATCGTTATCCTTTCCGTGTCATCGATCAAACCCGCACAGCAAAATACCCGGGAAGCCTGACTGGTCTTTGACACATGCGCCGCCCAGCAACCCCTGGACAATGTGGTCATCAAAGTCGAGGCTGCCGCCCCAACCAGCAATGCGAACAAGTGAAGATGGCCCAGAGTCAAATGTGAAAGGACAGTGACGACAAGTGGCATGGCCCGAGACTGCGCAGCTCTGCTCTGTCACCCCTCAACGGGGAAATGATGGGCCTGTTTGCTGGCATGCCCGACGTCCCCCCGAAACAGGTGATGGACCTGGTTGGAGGAATGATCGATGTAATTCTACGTAATGACACGACAGCCCATCGCCACATGCCGACTCCATCCGGCGCGTCTTTGGAGCTGGCAGGTTCTTGCTCTGATTATGTCACGCCCCTCCTCTTTTCGATGCCCGTCTTCTTTGAGCCCATTGCAGGGCCGCGGGCTTTTTCGTCGACAAGCGGCCCCGAGCGAGGCCATGAGTGAGCACAAGTACGGGGCGTGGGGACGCCGCCTGCGGATGGATGCCTCGTCGCGCACCTTGGCTGAGTTAAGCCAAGGGGGCGAACAGACAGCGGAGGCACCTGGGTGTCTGTCGTATGTAAAAGATTAGATAAATCAATACAAAGCAAGCGGGCCACAACGTGCTGATTACATAGCAACTCTCACATATGGCAATCTCGAGAGCAATCAATTTGTTCAAAGCTAGGTTAGAAGGATGTCTTTGTTAGGTAAAAGGAGCGTCGCTCAGGCCGGCGCGTACCTGGCCTGCCCCAGATCGAAAGCCAGGAAATGCGCAGTGCTTCTCCATCAGAGGCTTTCCGGCTGCCGAATCGTCCAGTCGTGGTCGCCTGTTCGTGATCCACCCCGTTCCGTTGCTGCTCGCAAGTCTCAAACTATAGCACTATGTACCTCGTCGATTCGCAGCACTAAGGTGAAGGAAGAAAAAAAAAACCATTATTGAGACGGCGGTCCTGGGAGACCCTCAGGGCTGCGCGTCTTGCATATCGTTTGCTCCGTTCCTGCCATTTCCATCGGTCATCTGCGGAGAGGCGTCGCTCCTGGGAGGCTGAAAACCCTCCCCCTCTGGTTACCTTACCTCAGGAAGACTCATCAGAGACCGCCATCGCCGCCGCCACGTCGTTCCGGGTCATCAGCCGGGCTTGGGGAGTTTGTTGATGAGTCTTGTGCTCATCCGGATTTCCCACTCTTGTACCCTAACCTAACCTAACCTTATCTTGGGGAATTTTCCCAACGCCGGTCCACTCGTGTCAGGGCCCTCTCTGATGCACCTACCTACGTTGTTGTTACCGCATCTGGCTGTGCCTGCCCTGCTTCCCGCTCCGTATCCGCACGGCGCATGGAGGTGGCTGTGGGTGGATTCTTTTTTACCTCAGTATTAGGTTAGCATCAGTGACGGATGGACGCGCCTTGCCAGACTAACACTGGATGCCGTTGTTGTACCTTGTGCTGCTCTCACTCAACCACCTCGACGGGATGTCACTGGCCCGTTTCTTGTCTTTGTCGTTCGTTCCCTCGGTACTTCATCTCATCACATTCGTTGCCTCACTTCGAGTACCCAGCCTAGCCTCCTCTTGTCCAGATTCCCGTCTACCCCCGTCTCCCACTACTACCCCTGGCCGATCCCTCTCAATCCCTCCAATCTGCTGCCGTCAAAGGTCACGGAGACTCTCCGTCGACGCGGGCAAACGAATACGCCACACGAGAATAATCAGGACTCGGAACCACATAGTAGGAGAGAAAAGAAGAGAAATAATGGAGGAACGAAAAAAAAGTTTTTTCCCTCTCGCATATGCCGCAATACCACGTTATTATTAGCACCCCCAGATCTATCGGAGGCTAGTCCGTATCGCGACGGTGACAGCGCCGACCTGCCCCCGTCCAACCAACCATGCGACAACGGCTTGTTCAGCATTGGAAATTCCCCGTCTCCCCAAACACGCCTACGCACCAAAACACTCCTCGGCCGGAATCCCTAGCTACCGTTGGGAAGCGCACCTGGGAGGCGTGCATCTCCCCGCACAGACTCCAGCAACCAAGCTCGGAGCCAACCACGGTCCACGCGCATCTCCCATCAGTCACCTCGCGCTGCCAGTGACCGCCGGCCGCCGCCAGTGACCACCACTGCTACCACACACACACACCCCTTCTGGGACAAGATGTACTTCTGCCATGGACACGGGTCCAGGTCCAGTGCCTTCTTCAACCCCTTCCTCCGGACCTTCGCACTCTCTATCGTCCGTCCTGCGTCTACACTACAACACAGAGTACGGCCAAGGCCACTCTTGGTCGGTTCACTACAGAGTGTGTCTGAATTCCATCGTCTTCCACACCAAAAGGACGGACCGCCAAGAAACAGTCATACCGACCACGCCGTCTTCCAGTTTCCTGCTGCTGCAGACTTTCCTGTCATCCAACTATAACAAGCCAAGCCAAAAGCGCACACACACCCACACACTCACACTCACACACATACACACACACATTCACCACCACTCACTCACCTCGTGGGCCGGTGTTGTGTTGCTGACAGATCAAGGTTTGGGCGGTGACCAAGCCTTTCCAGCCCTCCGTCCTGGAACACCTTATTGCTCCTCCCCAACTCTCTAGGGATCAGGGGGGGTCGCTCAGTCTCTGGCTCCCCTGGAGCTCTTCGACCGGCCCCGTTACCTTGCTTCATTCTCGCTTACACCGCCCGCCGCCGTAGCCCTTTCCCTTCCCCCCCTCACCCAAAGCAAAGCAAAGCAAAGCAAAGCAAAGGAAAGTGGCACTGGCACTGGCACCGGCACCGGCACCACACACCACATAGGCGATTAACAGCCAACGTACTTGACCAGTACTTGTAAACCACCCTCGTCGGCTGCAAGCCATCAGCCGTCGTGCCAGTACCACTATCGGTACCGGTACCAGTACCAGCGCGGTGGAGGCCCAGGTCAAGGCCCCAAGTCCCAAGTCGCAAGTCGCAAGTCCACCTTTGGCCCGGGTTCAGGTCCAGGCCCAGGTCCAGGTCCAGGTCCAGCTTTTCATCTGCCCTCTGCAGACTGACTGCAGCCAGCACCCGCGATTGCGCTGCGCTGCGCTGCACTGCACTTTCGACTGCACCGAGCTGCAGGGCAATCCAATCTTTGCTTCACTAAGCCCCACCTCGACCCTACTTTACCTCGAAAAGGCGCTACACATCCTACGCTATTCCCGCTCTACGTACTTACATCAAAGGACCATCTGCGGTCGCAACCTCCACGTCCTGTCCTGCCTGCTCGTCAATTTTTTTTTTCTCTCTCTCTTCCCTCTCGCCTTTCCCCATCCATCTTCTTCCGGCTGCTGTTGTACTGCCCGCCGCGCGCGCTGTCTGCCACCAGACCGCTACGCTACCTACCCACCGCCCACCACCCGCCGCCGCTTGTTGCTGCCGGGCCTGGCTCACCCCGACCGCCTCTGCATCCTGCCACTGCTCTTGCCTGGCGCTCCCCTTCTCCTCTCTCTCTCTCTCTCTCTCTCTCTCTCTCTCGCCCACTCCTCTCCCTCACCTACATAATATCTTAATTCCTACACCCATCCCGTCTTCGTCTTATTGCCCTCTCTTCTCGACCTCTTTTCTCCAAACTCTCTTCTGTAGCGGTGCCTCTCATCATACTTCACCACGGGACAAATTTAGAAAAAAGGGAAAAAAAGGGGGTTGAAACAGGTCTGCCATTTTGTCCGCCCTACGAGTCAAGTCTATTTGGGCCCGAGCCCTTCTCACTTCGCCGAGGCGTTCTTGACACAGCGTGCCCTCTTCCCTTGTCAGACCTGAGCTTCGACACTCGACGGCACTGCCGAGTTCGACTCGAGTCGCAGAACTCTCTCCCTTCTCTTTCTCTCTTTCTCTCTCTGCCCCCGCCAGCCAGCCGCCCGCATAACCCACCGTTGCTGCCCTTCGCGCAGTGCTGAGCTCGACCTTTTTTATTTTTATTTTAGAATTCCAGTCTTCCGTCTCTCTCTCTCTCTCTTACTCTCTACCTGACTACACTGTTTCCCGCCCCTACTGCGGCTGACACCATCTGCCCGTCACCGACAGCCGGAAACTAAGAGACCAGGAACGGAAAGAGGAAGACCAGACCGGAGAAAAAACCAAGAGGCGAAAGGCAGTCGCTCGGTCGCAGTCGCGTATATACCGCCCTCTGTCCGCCCTGTTTCTGCCACCTCTGGAACCTCGTTCAACAACCCAAACACAAAAAACTTGCTGCCGCTGCGCACGCTCATGCCTTCAGCTTCCCCCGCTATGGCGAGCCCAACAACCTCCTCGGCCACCAGTTCCAAACCTTCCTCAGTCAAGTCGGACGGCAAAAAATCGCCGCGTTTGACCCCGCAAAATGGCCAATCCGTCGCCAACGGCAATGCGTCCCACGAGGCCCTGCCGAAACCTGCCGAGAAAGCCTCGATGAAGGACAAGCTCTCACGCATGTTTTCCACGAAAGACGTCACCAGAAACACTATCGAGGTCCCCCAGCGCCCCCGTGGTTCCAGCTTTAATGGCTCCGACAAGCCCCAACCCCCGAGCAGAAAGCCTTCCGCAACCAACGCAGAAAAGGTCCCTGAGAAACCCGCCGCTAAACCAGCAAAACCGCCTGCAAAGGACCTCCAACGATTCATGGCGAACCCGGACCTGCAGGGTGGCCATGAGCACCACCTCAAGTCGAGCCGTCGCCAAGAAAAGCTCTCCGACATGTGGCGCACCCTCATCGGCAAGAAGCAGGAGAACGCCGATAACGACCTATCGCTCGTTTCCAACTGGGTAGACACCCTCAAGGCCGAAAAGGAGGATATGGCGGGAGACAAGAAGAACGGCCCCAATGCGACGTCGTCGCTCGTCGAGAAGTACGGCAAATGCCAAGAGGTTGTGGGCCGTGGCGCCTTTGGAATCGTCAGGATATCCCACAAGAAGATCGAGAACGGAACAGAAAAGCTGTTCGCCGTCAAGGAGTTCCGTCGTCGCCCGGAGGAGACGGAGAAGAAGTACAGCAAGCGCCTGACTGCCGAGTTCTGCATCTCCTCGTCGCTCCGTCACCCCAACGTCATCCACACCCTGGATCTGCTCAAGGACGCCAAAGGCGACTACTGCGAAGTTATGGAGTTCTGCGCGGGTGGCGACCTATACACCCTTGTGCTCTCGGCCGGCAAGCTGGAGGTCCAGGAGGCGGATTGCTACTTCAAGCAGATGATGCGAGGTGTCGAGTATCTCCACGAGATGGGAGTTGCCCACCGCGATCTGAAGCCCGAGAACCTACTGCTCACCACCCGTGGCGGCCTGAAGATTACAGACTTTGGCAACGGAGAGTGCTTCCGGATGGCCTGGGAGACCGACCCCCACATGGTGTCTGGCCTCTGCGGCTCCGCGCCCTACATCGCACCCGAGGAATACACCGACAAGGAGTTCGATGCTCGCGCTGTCGACGTCTGGGCCTGCGGTGTCATCTACATGGCCATGCGCACTGGTCGCCACCTCTGGCGCGTCGCTCGTAAGGACGAGGACGAGTTCTACGCTAGGTACTTGGAGGGTCGTCGTGACGAGGAGGGATACGGGCCGATCGAGTCCCTGCACAGAGTGAGTCGCCTGACAGACTCCGAGACAAAAGCAAGCACTAACGTCATTTCCAGGCGCGCTGTAGAAACGTGATCTACTCTATCCTGGACCCCAATCCCACCCGACGCATCACGGCCTCCCAGGTCCTCAAGTCCGAATGGGGCCGCGAGATCAAGCTCTGCAAGGCGGGTGAAGAGGGCCTTTGATCGCTTCACGCTGCGTTCGGATGTACAAGCTCAATCATTGTCAGCGGCGAGCCACCCGGCTTTTTCCTGCGAACGATATTTCTCAACGGCGGAACTGTGAGTGGCCGGCATTTTACCCGGTCCATCGATAGATCGATTTGTCTGCACAGACAGCGTGCGTCAACCGGCGGTCTTTTGACTTGTCTTTCAGCCTGCTTCGATTCACCCTTTACACTTGTTTTCCTGACGATTTTACGACACCCCCATGCGACCTCGTTATCGCGAGCATCGGCGTTTGGCGTTTACCCCCATTCTGCTTATAACACACTACTACCTTCTGTTCAACGTACATATGACACCCCCGTCCTTGGAGCGGGCATCGCGAAACAATGCTACAGAGCCGGGTCCGCATCACTTTGGGTTGACTCGGTCAGGAGTCCCCAAGCGCACGGAATGAAGCTATAATGAGCGACGGATTGGAAATGGCATCCATCACATGGAATGGCGGAACTGGGTGGGCTTTGTGGATGAAAGTCCGGTGGGATACGGTGACTGGACCCGGAGGAACCGGTAAGGGACGGATGCAGAGGCAAATGCATCGGTCTTGGGAAACACTTTGAGGGGAGGCTGCATGCATGCGCGGACCTGGAATTACATCTCCATGCATTCGCCAGACACAACTCTGGAAAGATCGTGCAGTCTCCCCCTCCCTCTAACCCACTCGCTTTGCTCCTATAGTGAGTGGCTGTATTCTGAGACAAGGACCTAAAGAAAAAAAACTTAATGAACAAGCAAAGAGGAGCGGCATCCTGGGTGATCATTCCGTGACTGCTCCGCGTGTGTGCTCATCCACTCTTTGCCATTGATTATACTTAGGTCTTTGGGTTTGCCCGCCATACAACCCTGCCTTTGGGGTAACAGGAACAACCACGGCCATGGACGGCCATGGACGGCCTGTGGCAGGCAGGCTGGCAGCAAGTAGCAGGGCCCCGGGATTCCGGCAACGAAGCTCCACGGACGGACGCCCCAAGGAGCCGGGCGCAGCATATAGAGTTGATCAGCCACCGATCGAGTGGGTTACGCGCTGAAACCTTTGATCTTGGGACGGGCTTGGCAGGTGACCGACCCCTCGGCCCCGATGACGATTGACAGCATTGTTGTCGGAGAGCGAGGACGACGGGAAGGAAGGGTGGGGACCCTTTCGAAGAAAAACTCTCAAAAAAAAGCCCCAGATCCAGAGGGGGTCAAACTGTGGGACAGATCTGGATGGGGGGGCTTGTAGAGGCCGTGGCTTTCTTTTCACTTCTTGCTTGATTGATCCTTATTCTTTTTTGGCTTTCGGGTTCGGACGGCGCGGGGGCTCGTCCGCCCGCCCGTCCGTATTCGTCCTCCGTCCAGCTCACACCCCACCGGCGGGCGCATGGAGGAGGGGAAATCGCCGGAGTGGGCTGCTTCTTGAAAGTCAGTGTCGCTGCTTTCTACCCCTCTCCCACAGACGCTCCCGGGGGCCCGTTATACCTCCCCTCCGCGCTGCCGGCCCCCGATCTGCGCCGGGTGTTCCGGCGAGGAGAGGGGGGGGAGGGTCCTGGGACAGAGGACTGGGGACTCGACAAACTGTGATTTCGTTCTCATTCTAGGACCGGTCAAAAGATGGCCAAGGCTCTGTCATGGTTTGACTTCCCACCTCAGCCTCCCATCCCCCTCTACTTGGCGTTTCCCACCCGCCGGCGCAGCCACGGGACACGTACGAGGGCGGTGTCTGAGATGACGTCTGCCCTCGTGATCGAGGAGGCTTGTCGCTCCTGCCACTGCCAAGCGGTGGAGGGCGGCTCTGGAGCGTGCGCGAAGCGGCTCGACACCGCCACCGTCATCGAGGTTTTTGCTCTGCCCGCGAAGCCAAGATCCCCCCCCCCCGGGGGTTGCCAGGGCTGGCCTTGGTTCACATGCGCGCGGCCGTCTCCGGAGCGGTCATGACTGGAGAGAAGAAGGGGGGGAGGGAGTCGGTCAAGACGACGCCGGCGACGACGGCGACGACGGACGGGGCTAGGCATGGGACGTAGGGCACAAGGCCCAGGGGCCGCGCATCGTGACTTCGGTCTTGGTCTAGGAGCCTAGGAGGGCACCCCAAAGCCATGGATCGAGCCAACGCGCCGCCGCCGCCGCACCTCGCATCACAACACCGAGTACACCGCCTCTTTCGACGCGCCAGCTCATCAAGAGAATCCTCTTTCCCACCACCAAACCTGCTCCCCGTGGCTCACCTCCCCTCAGACTCTTCCAGGCTGCCTCAGCTGCTACCTCGCCTCGTGGCCTCTGGGGGCCATGCGAGATCCGGCAGCTTGGTAAAAAGGCCTGGGAGGGGCTTCGGAGCTAGCCAGATCCCCCCCCCCGCACCCTCCGGAGGGCCATTTGACCCAAATCACCGGCGTCATCGATGTCCCCCCCCCCCCCTCTCTCTGCGCTACGCCGTGCTAGAGCCTGGAACCCTCCTCCCGGCCGCCCTAACGTGGCCCAGATCCTCTAGCCCCGGCGGGTAGCAAAGGTCTGCAAGAGCAGACTAAGCAAAGAAGACGACGCCAAACGCGCCCCTTCCCTCTCTCTTTTACCCCGTCCACTTACACACATACGCACACTCCCCCCCCCCAAAAAAAAGACAGCTAAGCCCCTCGCCCCCAGGTCTCAACCGCCGACATCGAGGAAACAAAGAAAAGTTCGGTTCGGGAACCACCACCCACCGCCGGATCCGGCCCCATGAGCGCCCCGGGGCGGGGCCCGGGCCCGGGCCGATGCCGCTAAGCACGCATCCGGCGCAAGGGACCTTGCCACATCCATCCCCCTGGTGGGGCAGTACCGGCGGGTCCGAGACCACGGGCGATGGGTGGGGCGCCACACATTCAACTCCGCGATCCCATGCGATTGCATCCCCGCGGACGCATGGTCCTCCACAGGGGTCGAGGGAGGGAGGGCGGGGTTCCTCCCGAAGCCTCCGGGCGCGGGCCAATAGTCAGAGGAGGGGAGGAGGACCGCCCCCGGCACGGTAGAGGGCGACGACGGACCGGAGCCGCTCACATCAGCCGGCGGCCGGTGCGGCTGATCAATGGTCTTGAGCTGTTGGTGCCACCGCCCTCCGGCAACCACTCCCCCCCGACGGTCCCTACGTTGCTGCTTGCCTCCCCCCCCTGGTTCCCTCCATCTTTTCTTGCTACTGCTCACCTAACGTCGGTCCCTTGTCTGTTCCGCATTCCGGTCTTCCATGTCCTCTTTCGCCAAGCTGGGGGTCCAGTTCTGTTTCTTCCGTCTTCGTGATCATGGACGGTCCGCCAGTAAACCAACCTCGTGCCTCTTGTGATGCCGTTTCGATGCCAAGTCCTGGACGCCGTCGTCGTGATGTTCTTCCTCCTCCTGCCTAGACCTTTCGCTTGGGCTGCTTACGTCCGTCACTTCAAGCAATCCGGGATGCCTTCAGCAGCAGGACCTTGCCGTTCATGTCATCGGGCAGACCTCTCCGAGAACTCAGTCGTTGTGACATCCCGTTGATTGTCATCTTGTCTCGCCGACATATCATCATCGTACCTCACATTGTCAGGGAATCATGTTGTATCTTAATAGAAAGCCCAATGGCTATTTCTTGTATATGTGTGCCAAATCTTTAGTATCCGTTGCTCCGATATACATGACCCAAGGCGACAAAGTAGTGCGCACAGGTTGGCAGGCCCCGAGGATGAAAACACAAAAGAGACGCGGGGCCGAGGGGATGATCCCCGGCCGCCTTCCTTTCCCCGTTTGCAGACGACCCCAAGATAATACATGCAGAGACCTCTCGTCCTCTCTGCTCATGAATCTCGTGCCAACCTGTCATTTTCCCATAAACACCGAAAAGAACAAGAATGACAAAGCAAATAAACGCCCCCGCGTGGCGCACCTCTTTTCCCTCATCGGTGCGAGAATCGAACTTGTTTCCCTCCGCAAGACATAAACAACCCGCAATAGAATAGAAGCAGCCCATGAGCCCGGTAGCGCCGGCCGCCTCGTGCCCGCCAGTCACACATAAGCGAAAATCGGCATCCACCGCTTCCCTCAAGTGAGGGAACTAGATATCGTGATGATCGGTTTTGTTCGTAGTTGGAGGAAGACGAGTAGCGGTGCGCAAAATATCCCTCGGCGGTTACAGACATTAATCCCTGACCCAATTCCACTCCTGCCGATGGTTTCCTCTGACCCTGGTGTAAGGCGAGCGGCAAAGAGCAACAGTAAACGCAAAACAGACTGCTCCGAACCAATGCAACGTAGTCGAGATCGAGTCGACGAAAGGGCGGGACCGGATCCCGTTGGTATTTGAAACCGAGGAAAACACATTTGGTGTCTTGCCCAGTAAATGAAGAATCGAACACGCGGAGACCAGTCCTTTAGGAGTGGAACAGGTCCCAGGCCCTCTCGCAGAGCTTGAGAAACTCGTCACGCTTTGCTCTTTGGCTCTCGGGGCTGTCCCGACCAGCGCCGAACGGTCCTCTTCTTTGGGGAGCGGGACCGTGGCCCAGAGGCGGGCTGCCGTCCTCGTACTCGGCACGGGTGCGACGCCGGCTGGCACTGCGACTGGGGTCGGCAAGTCTGCTCCCCGGGGCGGGAGAGGGCGGCGTAGGAGGCTGGTGGGTGTTGCCGTAGTGCACAATCTTGGGGAGCAGCTCGGGGCGGCCTCCGGCAATCTCATGTTGCGCCTCTTCGGCAGACTTGTACTCCCGCGCACGTCCCGACGTCGGGGGACCATGCTGCATCTGAGGAGGGTGGCCGGGCGACGTCATAGGAGGTCGCGAGCTGTTTTGAGGGTACAGCGAGTTGGGCGCGTTCTCGGGATGACCGGAGACTTGGCCGAAGACATCGCTGATGGAGGCAGACGGTTGTTTGTCTGGTTGGCAGGAACGTGGTGGATGTGAGAGGTGTTGGACAGCGTGTTCGGCTGGTTCGCAATGTGGCGAGTCAGAGGTGCAGGGTGTTGACGGCCGGTGAAGGAGTGTCCCAAGGGAGCAGACTGGATAACGCGCTCGTTGGCGAAGGACTCGGCCGAGGGCGGCAGAATGGAAAGCTGAGCCTTGTTCCTGCGAGACAGCCCGGGGGTCTTGGCAGCGAATTGCGACACGGGGTCCTTGCTGGAGGTATCAGGACCGTCGCCCTTGGCCGACTGCTGCTGCATTCTCTGTTCGATGATCATGCGTTGCTGGTCCCTCACGCTCATGCTGCGCTGGAGCTGCTCCTTCATAACCGGGTCTTGGGTAACAAAGCCAGGCGAGAGACAAGCCAGGCCGACTTCCTGAATGCCCAGGTTCTCCCGAGCGGTCATGGGCCTGGCGGTGCCGGGAGTGTTGGAGCCCGGGTGAGCGCCCTTGTTCGACAGGTCCAGTTTGCGTGGCCTGTGTCGGGTGGTCGGAAGATCGGGGGAGTTGGGCTCCTTCTTCACGACGATCTTGGGAGCGCCGTTGGCGTGTCGCGCACTGAGCCAGGATATGAGTTAGCGGGACTGGCACCGAGGGCGCAGAGATGCTCGGGACTGATTCAACTTACGCGCTGGGAGGAGATGACTTTGAGGCTTGGGCAGTGCCTCTAGGGCTGCCGCTGCCTGAACGATGTGCCGTCGCATTGGGGGTTCCAGTGGGGGCAAGAGTTCTTTGTTGGGCAGGCGAGGAAGGGCCGTGTTGAGTAGAAGACGCGGGTGCGAGATCAGAAGAGAACGACGGTCTGTCGTGAGGGGCCGGAGAGGGAGCCATTGCAATCGCTGTGCTCATAGTTGCTGTGCCGTTCGAAGTGGGGAAGGATGAAGAGGAAGAAATCCGTACGAGGCGGGTTAACTGCTGCTGCTGCACCCGTGTCACCTATTTGCCCGGTTGAGATGCAAAAAAGGTGCCTAGTTTCGCTAGACTAGAGCGGACGAATGTGCGAGAAAAAGGGCGAGTCGGTCGCAGATCGGGAGGAAATACGAACTGACGATATCGTCAAAGGCTGGGTGATTGAGATGGGCGATTCTCCCTTGCTCAATGCTCCAATTTTTAATGGGTCGAGGGTGGAGGAAATGTCGCGGAATGGGTGAGATGCGCGACTCTTCGTGTCGAGGGCTATCGCCAAGGCCGAGGACTCGACTTTTTATCGATTGTTTGGCGGCTAGGCTTGGTTTGGAACCCTTTGTCCTTTGGACTTCCCTTTCTACACGCGTGGTGGTCGCCGCTGTGGAGGCTTAAAGCTTGCGCTTTGAGCTCGACGAAAATGGCCGAGAGCGGGCTGGCCGACAGGAATTAGCCTTGGGGTAGTGGGTGCGCTGGGCGATAGTGGGCGGTAATAGCAGCGCGGTCTGGCTACTGCTGCTGGCCGTGAAAAGTCGGAGCGCAGTCGACGAGTGGTTGGTCTGCTGATATCGTTTGTGGAACAAGCCGAGGAATTGTGGTAGTAGTAGTAGAAGAAGAAAAACGAGAAGTCGGCCGAAACAAGCTGGTGCTGCGTGCTGGGGCGAATCGGGGACTGGAACGTGCAGTGCCAAATTGTGTGTGCCAAATGATTAGTGGTGCCTGGGGCAGGTTGTTGGCATGAATCGACTGATTGACAAAGACAACGGGAGGGTTCGACAATTCGGCTCGTGTGTCAGATGGTGTCAAGATAAGGGGGAGCGCATCAACCAAAGTCAGGCTCTTTCCGAGGGTCGAGTGGTTCCTTTTCTTTTTGGCGAAGGAATCTCTCTCTTCCTCTCTAGTCAGGCGGATTCACTCGTCTTCGAGGTTGGTATATATCCGTTATTAATTAGGTGGCGCGGGACAGAACGAGACTGCGAGAGAAAGGCAGTCTTTTTTTTTTTCCGTTGGGTCGTCGGAACAAAACAACGAAAGGAGAAGGTTGTAGTTGTTGATGTTTGGTTTGAGTAAAAAAGCGAGAGACTTCGTCTGCGACGTCGGGGTAAGAAAAGGTCAGGCGCGGAAGGGTTTGAGAAGCTTGGGAAGAGGGGGGGGGGGGTACGAGTGAAGAAGTAGAAGAAGAGTAAGGTAAGGGGAAGGTGAAGAAGGTTGGAAAGGTAGCGAGCGCTGGACGAGACGAGGGTTACAAAACAAAAGTTGAAAGAGGATGGAGGGGGAGGGGGGTGGTGTTTAAAGGGTCGGATTCAAAGTCTCAAATCAAGTCCAGGTCGAGAAAAGGGACCGAGGGGGTGCGCCGTACGGGGTGTGGTGACAATCCAGTGACAAGTGTGTCTAGCAATCGAGAATAGGCTGCGACACGACGGGACGAGACTGGATGGAGAAGACCAAGAACCGACCGGGGCCCTTGGACACACGCACATTGGCGCACACACGCTCAGAGTGGAAGGATGGAGCATGGAAATGGGGGAGGGGGGGGGGAGAGAAGTTTAGAGGGGCAATTATGTCTTGTTTTATTGTCTTATGAAAGGGGGATACGGGGGTGGCACGATTATGGCTCAGCCGACACACTTGACCCTTTCCGCTCGATGTTTTTCACTGCACAACACCGCTGTAACCTACCTGCAATGTCTGCTGGTCGGGAGAGTCGAACGGTGGTGGTGGTTGCTCGTCTAGAGGGCTTCCCGGGGTGAACGCTGCAGCGACGGAAAGATGCGATTGAGTGGCTGACTATACACAACGAATGGGAGGGGTGTTTGTTCCGTGGGGGAAAATGAGGAGGACGAGGACGACCACGACGACCACGACCACGACGAAGCAGAAGACGGGGAGGCGTGTGTCTACGCAATACATGTCATCCAAGGACGGCACAGTCGCAGCTCGAGTTGCAGCTGCAGCGCAGCATCCAGCAATTCAGCGTCCAGTCCTTACCGTCGTCTGCCATTCAAGCCACGGCATGGTCATAGGTGATGCACGCACGAAATTGACGGCGGTGATGGTGGTAGTGGTGATGCAGCTTGGGGCTTCTAGACCAACTCAGAATCCAGTCCGTTGGTCTGCCGAGCACGGGATTGATTGGATGGGAGGTGACGACAGTTTGGGGCCCCTCTTCCTCTTCCTGTTCTTGTTCGTGTTCTTCTCTTTTCTTTCCTTTCCTTTCCTCCTCTTTCGATTCGACTATCTTTGTCCAGTCCACCTCCGCCTGGTGAAGCACTACCAAGTGTCAGACGCAACAGCAACAACAACAGCATGTGCCACCCCAGCTGTTGGTTGGTTCGCAGGTGTGTAGCAACAGTGGAGAGTGCTACGGTGGTAGGGCGCCTCAACCCAACTCGACCTAGTGTAGGACAGACCAGGACAAGAGTTCCCAGGGGGGTGGAAACCAACGTGGAGCGCGCAAGGTGAGGGGGATTCGCTGTCGACCATGATATGCCTTGGGCAGTCCGTAGGAGACGGGGCAATAAAGAGCTGCAAGCACCGACCAGGATAAGATGAGGGGAGGTTGTGTAGAGGAGCATGCCGAACGGTGAACCTGAAGGCCATGTGCCATCCAAGTCAACCGGCAAAACCATGACCAATTCTAAATCCCAGCTAGTGCAGAGCGTCAGCGTGTCGACGAGGAGGGCAACAACGACCGCAACGCAGCGTCTTGCACTCGCACCCATTGAACCGACGTCCAGCGGCACTATTCTGTACCTTATCCTACCATTATATTATTGCCAGTATCAGTATCACAGGGGTGGGGAGTATGGTGGCCGGGGGCGCCGCCTAACCTCCGTAGGCTGTTTTACATTGATGCTCTCGTTCACCCCCCGTGTGGGGTGCTCTGTTTTTCTCTCTCACATTCTCGCTCATTCCCATGCCCCCGTAGGTTGTCGGATCGCCGGTCCCCTCTCTCTCTGACTCCCACACAGCCCGCACTTCCTATTCGGGAAGGGCAACGACGGGATGACAGGACTGGGGCTCTGGCTGATCAATCATCCAACTCCGCTAGAAACGGATGCTCCCAGTCTACTCCTAATAGCAGACGCGGGTTAAACACCTCTGGTTGACCATCGTGACCCATGGCATTGCCGAGGCAGGTGCTCTGTTCTCATGCGCGTGAAACGGGGCTGGCCATGAGCATGCTCCCGGTGGTGTTGCTTTGCTAAGGCCAGTGGCCAAAAGGACGGATGGGCGGCGGGTTGCTGAAGCTGGAAGCTGCCATGCCATGCCCATCCATCGCCATGCCACGCCGGGCCACGGGGGAAGCTAAGGTAAGGTACCTTTGCCGCCTTACATGGCGAGAGTAAAGTTGGGGGCGCGTCCGTCTTACCTAGCGTGCGGTAGTGTGCTTTTGGTTGGGCTTGCGTTGGGAAAACCGGTTCGCAATTCCTACATAGTACGTCGATGACTGTTGCGTGCCTTTCCGACCTACCACTACAGGTGAGGAGGCAAGCTCGCATGCTGGCAGGGCCGTAACGATTGGCGCACGGGGGCTGCAGCAGAAAGAGCAGACTATTGTTTCTGATTGGGCTCAATACCAGCCAATCCTGCAACACTCGAGCCACCGCTCGCCCACTTGCCCACCCTCCTTTCCCTCAGCCAGATTGCCAGGATTGACATAGATTGACACGGATTGATACAGATTGACACAGATTGACACCATGGATTGGCCTTCGACGACACCGGACGACAATTCTCCTTGTGCGAGACAAGATATCCCGACCTGCTGGGGAACCAGGCAGTCTACTTCCCTCACCTTTTGGCTCCCTGGCGTCATTGCCTCTGGTTCTCGACAATACCGGGTCCGAGGAACAATATGTAGGACCTGCTCGGCTTATACTCAGCCCAGCGGTTGCCTCCGCCACCCAGGAAGGACCCCCTCTTGTGATTACCGCACTCTATCAAACACAAGGCTCATGGGCAGGGCAGGTGAATCGACGTCCACCTGCTTTACCTTTACAGTCAGAAGCCAATATCGAGATCGAGTACGGCCAGGCACACCACGCCACACCACAACACACCACCGATTAAATTAAGGCACGGGTGTTGTCGAGAAAAGACCAGACGGAAACATCGACGGCGGGGCTTCACCACACCCAACTCGGCCGGCGAACAACGGCAATTCCTCGCTTGCTGTGTCGTTGATGTCTCTGGTTCGGTTGACTTTGCCGCAGGTTGCAGAGGGCCCAATAAACAGACCCCTCTCGGCCGACGAACACCTCCGCAACCCGAATTCGGTGACTCTTCCACTCGTTGCATCACCGTCCGTGGCTTGGATGTGCTTCGTCGTTCCCATCCGAGGCGGACGCAAATAGCATGACCCTCGCAACGGTCTGTGCCGTTCCAACCAGCCAACCGACCAACCTATAGACGACCAAGATACGCAACCCATCACCGTCCACTTCTTCTTTCTGGGACCCTCGTTGAACGTGCGTACTACTGGCCGCGAGTGCGTACGTCGTCGCCGTGACGTCTCCGCCTCTAGCTTGACTGCATTTCTCACCTGCCCTTGGGCGACAAGCAAGGTTGAAACCGCTCGCTCACCTTCTGCTCACCTTGCGAGAACCCCCCTGGTATTGCATCAGTACCTGCCATTGCTGGGCTTGCCCTGCCAGTGGAGCAGACAAAACCGGGACTCGGTTGTTTCAACCGCCACAACGCAGCAACGCATAGAAACGCCCATCGCTTTCACCGCCGTCTCGTCCCATGCAGTGAGGATGGCATACTTTTTCGACCACGTCTACATCCTACGTGCTAGGCTCCGATGGGCCAGAGGATGGAGGAGCTCCATGATGCGCCCATCGTCCACTCTATCGTCGCCATGCCGCTGTCGCCGAGTGTGCAGCATTTCTGGAGGCTTGGCCATCTCGAAAGCGTTCAACCTGTCACCGAACCCTGAAAAGCGCTGCCAGACGGCCAGCCCGGATGGCCTGTGCCTACGCCAGCGCGTCTACACCCCGGCACGCCTGGGAACGCCTGCGCCTGCGCTTGGTGCCTGTGCCTGTGCTTTCCCGCACCTACTGCCGGTTGTCTCCTAACTCCTAATAGTCGTCGTTGTGTTATTGACCACTCTGTTCGCCTTTGCCGTACGCCGGCGCCGCAGACCGTCCAGCGGGCCACATCAGACCAGCCGAACGCTGGCGTAGCCCCGGCCCGGGCGTCAATACATGGCGCTTTTCTCCTATTCAGCAGGTGTGCAGGAGACAATACGGCCCCCAAGAGAAAACTCGGATATTGGGGGCGGCGCCGGTGGGCGAGGAGAAGGGGGAAAAGGCACCAGCTGGCAGCCCCCAAAGCAAGACTAGTCTGCGTGCAGTATCTGTATCGTGAAAACACCTCACCGCCAAAGCCTGTGTGAATCGTCACAGCAATTAATGCCTTGGCTCACCGTCGGAAACGCGAGCCGAAAGTGTTCACCAGAGGACTCTTGAGAGCCACGGTGGAGGGGCAATTGATCCTCGATTAACGAAAACCATTCCCAACGTTCCCTGGAATCCTTCGAGCCGGCGCCCCATGATTGCGGATTACAAGCGATCAAATTGAATCATTGCCAACCCAACAGCAGAGCCTGAAATTTCCCACGATAGGCTCGGGATATTTCGACCAAACTCCAAACGAGACTCTCACCGGCGAAATATAGTGCCTCTCCACCTTCCCTCCGTCAGTGTCACCCCCTCCACGTCCGCCCCGGTCATATCTGACGGACCTAGCGACTCCACATGGATGAATCTGCACAAGATAGATTACCCCATCCGCCGCTAATGGCTCAAGCAAGGCAGCCAACAACATGGTCCGTCTTGCCCTCTTGTATAGGTACGTATCGCGCGCGGCGGCTCCCCACCAGCACGCTCGGAGCTAGAGGCGGCGTTCCCACTAACAGAAAAGCAAGCTCCTCAACTCTGATTGCTTCTCGTTGCCGCGCTGCTAGTCGTGCTCGTGTGCAAGACCCGAGACTTGTTGACGGCAGCTGGCTTCGTATCCAGATCGTGTGTTCAATTGTGTCTTGCCTCATCCGCCATGCTCCCCCATGGCTTGCCTACCGTGACAGCCAACGACGATCAGTAGCCACTCGTAGGGCGACTGGTCATTGCTGAAACCCGCCCCTCCTTGGATTGAACCTCGCCTGAGCCTCCTGGAGGCTGAGCTGGCGAGATTAGCACCTGGAAAATAGGTATGGCACAAGCGTCGCTCTCGCTCTCCTTCTCCGCACGGCAGACTCCAGGTCCAGCTGCTCCTCAGGCCAGACAAGGCCAGGCAGAACAGGGGGCCAGAAGGGGAACATCCATGCCAAAACGTCCCTGAAGATCCCGGCCATATCCCACAACCGTTAAGCCGCAACCCACATGTGTCACCAGCCTCTCGCCCCTCACCCGATCGAGAGGCTGAGTTGAGATGTGGCACACGCGCACGCACCATCGGCATGAAGTTGATGAGTGAATACAGAGGAATACGAGTCGGAGAGTTGCAACCTTCTCCACGCCCGTCGTCGTCACCGGCGCCAGTGCCACCTCCTGCGCATGCCGTCGAAGGTCAAATCTCCCTCGTCCTCATGCGTCCATGCTTGGTTCGCAGGTTGGTGTGTTCATGGACCAGAAATGTAGGACATAGTATAACCACGACAATCGACTCCTGCTGATCCATTGGCTCTCAGGAAGCTCAGCACTCAGCCCAACGACAACGCACCCAGTCTTTTGTCCCGCAACTTTCGGAATTCGCACACCCCCCCTCCCATCGACACCCCCGTCCCCGAAATCCCCACCAGAGTTCCAGGTTCGTCGTCGACGTTACATCCCCTAAAAATTTCTCCTTCATTCTTTTCGGGACGACTAGCCTTTCCCACTCGCAGCAACTGTTTCTTGGTCCCGCGGAAGAAACCTCTTTTTCACCTCGTTCCACAGCGGCACGAGAGCGGAAGAAACCTCGCCATTTGGCTCGCGAGTGCACTACCAAGAACTGGCTCTGTCTGCACGCTCAATTTGCCGAGTCGAGACGTCTCTTCCCTCGGTACAGCAACCTACCTAACACGTACATCTCCCCTCCCTGTTTCTACCGGTTCCGTCTCATTTCTCGAGAAAGCCTCGGGGAGCTCACAGACAGTCGCTGTTGATTCTTGCTCGTCATCCCGCACGACCATACATCGACCCATGCAACTGGGTGCGGTGCCTCTCCTGGTAGGCCGGAGTGGCAATACGTACAATGCACTTGTGTTCACCACCCACCCCCCGGCCAAACCCACTTGCTGGGCTTTCGGTTTGAGGACGCAGGAAACGAGCCAATCACGTTTGCAAGGCCGGTTTGTCTTGAAACAAGACGGGCGGTCGTCGACCAATCAGACCTTGTTTCCGATGTGACAGCGCTGGACGATCACGAAAAAGTGTGAAGTTCGGTTTGGCAGCAGCCTAGTGAGCCAACAGCACAATCCGAACGCAGGTCGTCTGACCGGGCGGGGGAAACCGAGACGTGCTTTCTCGGCTTGGTGAAGAAGGGGGGCCTTTTCTGCGTTGCGTTTTGGCTGCTCCAGGGTCGCGATCAGGTTTCCCGTCCGAGTTGTTTGCACTACTCTGCTCCCTGCTTCTTCTTTTAGCAAGGGTTTCGGGGCTCGTGATGTACGATGCGCTTGCTATGCTGCGTTTAATCCCATCTTTTGCCCCCCGCGCCGTTTCCCCTACGCGCGCTTAGGGCAGACGTCAAGGTCTTCAACACACACGCGGAAGCCAAATGGTCCGTGGACAATGCATGCCGTTAGGGGTCCTGCCAAGTTGCCTTGCAGAGACGTTAACCCGAAACCTGGCCATGAAATCGGGAGATGTCCGTGGTAGCCATGTTCCAGTCGAGGACTGGTGTTCGGGTCTTGTTGACGACGGCGATAACTACAGAAGTTTTTTCGATGCCGCTGCCGATGGCGCTTTGGGTTGCAAAGCACCACTTGCCGCGGTTCTTTCTCGTTTCTCAGATTGTAGCCCGGTGTTTGCAGCTGAACGGAGAACAGCCTTCGGTGCACCGTCACGGAGTCACAATATTCTGCACACACCGGAGCCGCGGCTCGGGATAGGTTACCAACGAATGCAAGATGATGGATGGTCTTGATCGATAACCCAGGCTCGAGAGAACAGCATAGCGCGCCGTCAGCTTGTTCTCGAACGTCTGGTGCGCACACGCATCTCCAAGTCCCAGGGTTCCCTTCTCCAAAGGGGGGAACATCATTTTCGAGGGCATCTCATTCGTCGCATCCCACCAGTCAGCTGTCGTTCTTCTGCTGCAGGTGTCGCTTGTTTGTTCGTCGACTGCATCTTACCGCGCGCCACCATCGAATCCCCTCTTTCCCCTTTACGGCCAAGTCTACCAAGCAGCAGCGCAGCAGCAGCAGCAGCGTCATAAGTACTTTGATGTGTTGCACCCGGCAAAGAAGTAAACGCTGGTAAGCAAGCAGCGGCGGTTCTTGTTTCTCGGCATGTGCGACGCGACGATCCGGAAAAGATGGCTGTTTTGGTCTTTCTTGCCCGTTGGAAGGCTCGAGACTTGCGCCGACGGTCCCGCAACTGCCGAGCGATATACTTTCCAGTCTTTGAATATGAGGGTGTGATTTCCTACCATTTCTTTGTCAGTTGTGGCGCTTGGGTGTTTGCGGCGATGGAAACCTTGGATATTGGCGATGCAACGTTTGGGGGGGTGGGATGTTCATGCTTAGGTAATTGTAGGCCGTAAAGTGACCGGCTGGTGCCGGGTGGAGCCCAGCAACCATGGCCGCGCCGCCAACTGGCGGCTTATCAAATCGATCCGCGGCGGCGTTATCAAAAAATTTGAGACGCCGCTGCTAGTCGCGGACTTTTGATTTGAGAGGTGAAAGGCAAAAAGATACCCCGCGACCCAAATTGAAGAAGAAACACAAGCGCACTACGCCGGAACGCCGTCTCAGTTGAAATAAAACGAGACATTCTCCCTCATAAAAGCAACATTCGCCCGGACCGAAAATGCCCGGCAGAACAACCTCGGAAGACGTCCCCATGGACGAGGCGCCTACGTCTCACCAGCCCGAGGAGGAGGAGGAGGAGGCCGAGGCCCAGGAGGAGTCGCCTGAGCAGGAGGAGGAAGAGGAAGAGGAGGAACCCCAGCGCGTCAAGATTGTGAGTCTCCCTCCTTTTTCCCTCCCCGATCTTTGCGGAGGGCCGGCGGCATGTGAGGCGGGATGAGAACTGACCGTACAACAGCTGCCCGGCTCAACAGACACGGCCGCCTCATTCGAGTTCATCGATGAGGGTCATACGCTCGGCAACGCGCTGAGATACATCATCATGAAGAAGTGTGTCACCCCCTTCTTCACATTCCGCTTCGGCGGCCCAGCCCGCGGGGTCTGCTCACAACATGTCACTAACACTACGCCCAGCCCCGACGTCGAGTTCTGCGCCTATGCCATTCCCCACCCCTCCGAGCCCAAGATGAACATTAGAATCCAGACCTACGGTGAGCACTTGCCCCTCCTCCCATCCTCACTTACTTTTCCGGTGACCTTTTGAATATATGCTGACCCCCCGTCACAGACGGCACCGCCGTCGCGGCTCTGCAAAAGGGCCTCAAGGACCTGCAGGCCCTCAGCGACACCGTCGCCGAGGAGTTCATTCGCGCCAAGGAGGAGTTTGGCCGCTCATAGTAGACGAGACTTTTTCTTTTTCACATGTCAAGAATAATGGCGTTTAGGGATCTTCAATGGCATAGAGAAAAGAGAGAGAGACAACCCAATTGGAGTTTTGTGTTGCTTTGCGGGAAGTGTTTTTGAAATTGTTGTATGACTTATGTACACGAGCTCTAGTTCCATCCAGCGCTCTTAGTTGCGGCCCTAGAGATGTGGTCAGCATGCGAGTCAAGAACCTCGATAACCCGGCGCCTTCTGTCCCGCTCGCGAGTCCTCTCTCGAGCGCAAGAATCGTGTCCCTCGTGCCCGCTGTCCCGCCACCGCGACTTACCTCCAAGAATCCGGTCATGAAGCTGTTGGGCAACCGCTTGTCCCCCTGAAGTTCTCCTCCTTGAAGTAGGACATGACGTGCGTGGTTTGCTTCCAGAAGTTCATCGTCTCCTACAACCGCGTGCCAAACGTCAGCCTTTGCTCAATCTCTTTCACTTATTGCCTTGTCGCGGTCGAGCATCTCTCGCGCCTATCCTTCGTTGGGCGGGGCCGGTCGGTTCCATACCTGGTATTCGGCGTGGCTCTTGAAGAGAAGAACGTCCACCACGGGCAGCTTGTTGGCGAATCTGTGGCGCTCAAACTCCTCGCGCATCCGGGTGCGAATGACGGACACGGGCAGGGGAACGTTGTACATCGTCTGGATCTCGGGCGCCTAGTATCGCATCGCCCAATTAGCACGTTGCCCATGGTCCCTTCGACTCAATTGAGATCGCTCGGTTCGAATCAACAGGTCTTCGATCGCTTCGCCCGCGCGCGGGCTATCGGAAAAATAAGAGGGAAACATACAGCACGAATCCATTCTCTGTACGTGGAGAGAACCCGGCGCTTTGCGTCGTTCCAGTTGGCCGCTGCTCAAGGGATTAGTGGGTGATCTTGGGGTTCAATTGGGACGTAGCACTCACACTGCCGGGTTGTCTTCGCGAATTGGGTCGGTGTGATGGCCATGGTGGGCGCGGGGATGCTGGTGAAGGAGGGGAGCGGGTTGCTGCTGCGTGATTGCCGACGGCCGTTCAGTTCGTCGTCGGGAATCTTGGGAAGCTCTCCAATCCCAGGTTGGGGAAGAGCCGCCCAATCACGTGTGGCACCTTAGTCAGCTTTGGCGTTGGCGCAGCCGCCCGGTGGGAAGGCGAGGCAGGGTCGATAAGTGATTATCGGAACCTTTTGCCCCACTACCTTAGCCCTCGAACATCAACTCCTTCGTCATCCAGCATACGACCGCGACGCGACCAACACTCGAAAAGACTTTCGTATACGCGAAACTACTTTACGAAAAACTTATAAGCAAGGATCTACGACAGTCGGCCGCCCAAAATGCCTCCTATGCGATCCTCGAAGCGCAAGCCGCCCCCAGAAGGCTTCAGCGACATCGAGGACCAGCTCCTCATCTTCCAGAACAAAATGAAGGACGCGCAGAACAAGCCGCCACCCACAGGACCGAAGCACCAGGCGCAGTGGGAGATCTTCCAAATCGCCCATACGCGGAGCAGATACATCTACGACCTGTACTACGAGAAGGAGGCCATCAGCAAGCAGCTGTACGAGTGGCTGCTGAAGAACGGGTACGCCGATGCCATGCTGATCGCCAAGTGGAAGAAGCAGGGCTACGAGAAGGTACGAGCATTGCCCACCAACCCCGTTTCCGTTGTATGATTCAGTGCTAATAGCTACGACAGCTTTGCTGCCTGCGTTGCGTCCAGACCAAGGAGACCAACTTCAACTCGACTTGCATATGCCGCGTCCCGAAAGCCCAACTCAAGGAAGACCAGGAGGTCCAATGCGTCAACTGTGGCTGCCACGGTTGCGCCTCCAGCGATTGAAGTACTATGTGCGGCCGCTCGACAAATTTTCTTGGGAAACTCATCTCCGCGAGGCTTTCAACCGTGGAGGACTGGCGTTTGGCGCTCGGTATAAGGTGGATGGTTCCGATCTAGGGTACGATCACTCGGGTCATGACTTTACCGCAAAGAGGTAGTGATCCTTTCAATTGACCGTTTTGGTATCATCATTGCCTGAACGCTAATCGGAGTAGTGCTATGATTCGTGAAGTCTTCCTCGCTTGGCAGGGTCCGTCTCATCGTTTTGCAAACCCTGCCCGCCCACCGCCTCTTCCAAACCGCACGCTGTTGGGGACGAATTGCAACGCCGACATGGCGCCGGCGAGGTCGTCCATTTCCGTGTCTGGACGCCCCGTTGTCGCTGGGTGGGCGGGTGTTGGCTCCGTCATTGTTTTTGTGATAGCATCCCCTGATGCCTGTGATTCTTTGCCTTGCGACGTGGACTCCAGGATGCTCGACATGCGCTTCGACTCCTTAGTCGTGCTGAAGGCGCTGGACGGTTTGCGCCGGTGATGTCCTCCTTCGACGAGCAATGACCGTCGGCCATCGATGCCCTCCTTCGTCACCGCGAAGAAGTAGTTTTTGGGGAAGTTGTGCTTGTCGATGAGATGCATCCGACGCTTTTGCGGCGTCATGCATTTCCTCTCGCAACCTTCAACAAAACAGGAATACTGCGGTCCAAGTCAGTGACGTCGTGATCTCAGGGGTAGGAGTTCGTGCTCATACCGTGTGCTCTCCCCGTTCCCGCCTGACAGCGGCGAAGGAGTCGTGACACTCTTCGTGATGCACGTTGAGCAGATGCTCCGACGGCAGATTCCTCCCGCATTCCAGACATCTGTTCGTGTGCGTCTTTACGTAATGCGCCTCGTACTCGTCGTATGATTTGAAGGCCAGAACCTCTCTGTGAGGCGGCATAGAGCATTTCATCGTGAAGTCTTCAGGTGTCGCCTCGGCGGAGGGCTCCAATTCTGTAAACTTGGAAACACGGTCATCTGTCTCGGGCGTCCCTGACCCGCTCTGCTCACCTGCTGGATGACCAGAGGAAGGCTGCTCCTCTTCGGCCTCTCGTGAGCGTTTCATCTTGAGTGAGGCCTAGTGACGGGGTTGATTACTTGCAGATCACCACCGAATCCCCCCCAAGCCGCGCTGCGGAGATGGTGTGCTGGAATTAGATTTGGGAGGAATGTGCAGGAACAGAGACGAGACGCAAGGCTGGCTGCAGTAGTCCTATGTCCAAATATGGTTTGTTTAGCCTTTGAGCAAGCCAGCAAGTCAGCGACGGTAGGCACACGATGATAATAGAATCGTATGTTGCGTCGAACGGGCAGTCAAAGGCCGGAGCCGTGGTGGGGCACTGACGGGTCAAAGACCACCTCACTGCAAGGCCGGTCGGTCCAGTCATCATACATGAGGGTCGGCTGCTGCAAGCACCTAAATGGCCGGGCTCCTAGCAAAGACACAAGGCTCGACAATGAAAGGTGGGCAGAAGCTGTGCACTACCGGGAAGTATCTCCGTTAGGGGACTTGAGGCGCCTGAACGAAGGGACCAATCCCAGGGGGCACGGGCCAGAGCCATTGGCAGCTGTTGAGGGGCTCCATCCAAAAGAACCGATCCCCCAAGGTAGGGAACACACTCTATTGCCCATGAGGTAAGTTCGCGCGTCCCTTCATTGAGACCCGACATCGCCATCTTTTTTTTTTCCTCTCCTCTCCCTCCTGTGTCGTCGCCGTCTCCGTCTGCCACTCTCGTCCTGCATCGTCGTCCGAGTGTTTCCTTCCCCTTTTGAATGTTTGCTCTGGGTGGCGCATTGCTCGTCGCTCCTTCCCTCCAAACCTCCACCCAATGTTTTTCTTCCCGACTTCCTCACCCCGAGTACGTGCCACCACAACAAGCCTTCGAGCCGACGCCCCGATCCCACCACCACAACCGTCGTCACCGTTGCCTCTGCCCTCGACCCGACGTCGTCGTTCACGAAGCGCCTGCCACTTACCAAGTTATGGATCGCGCGCGCACTCAGGTATTGGTTTCGAGAGCGTGTGAGCACAGCACGTAGCTTCAGGCTCTTCTTTTTGTTCCTTTCTTGAATTTTTGGAGTCCCGCACCTTCCACAACAACCCCCTCCATCGCGAAAATAATCGCAACCCCCAACACCATCCAGCCCTCCCCGATCGCCAATCGCAGGGCCCGGCTCTGCCATATCCCAACATGGCGGATCATATTGAAGCAGCGAAGCAGGCCTGGCAGTGAGTTTTATTCTCTTCCCCTGACTTGGCGCCTGCGCCAAGTCTGCCTTGTGGGCGTGCGCACATTGTCTGGATTCCGCGGGGTTCATGCGATTCCCGACACTCACCTTTCGTTGCTAACTCTCGAGTCTAGCCAAGCCCAGAAGCTTCGCAAGCACCTGCAGAAGGAGGTTGAGAAGCTCAAGAGTGACTCCGATGGCAACGACCTTAAGCATTTCGAGGCCTTGGAGAGTGTCATTTCCTCGTACGTATCCGATGCGATTCCTGGGCCTACGGCACCTTCCTGACATATACCTAGTCTCCGCCTCGCCTGCCTCCATGTCATATTCCACGATTTCGAGTACTCCGCCACCGAAAAGGTCGACTCCAACCTCTGGCAAGCACACAGCATTGTCAACAGCGAGTACCGAAAGGTCTTGGGCCGTCTGAGATCGGCACAGCTCGCCGTCCAGAAGCGCAAGCTGGATAGGATGTATAGTGGCTTCCTGAAGACGGCGCAAAAGTTCTACGTCGCCTTTGTCCAGCGCCTGTCCGCAGTGTACCCGATTCCCGAGCTTCAGCGCATCGCAGAGGGCATCAAGGCAGATAAGCTGGCGGAGGAGAACCCCATGGCCAATACCACGCCCGCCGTCCGCCAAATCATCCTCAAGTATGTCCACTCGGCTCTCATACACTTGGGCGACCTCTCGAGATACCGGATGCAGGCACGTCATAAGGTCCCCAGCTATGAGGCCGCCTTGACCTACTATTCCCTCGCCCACGACATTATCCCCACCTCGGGCTTCGCCCACCATCAAATGGGCATCATTTACTTGGATGAGAAGAAGCATTTGGATATCATATACCACTTCTACCGCGCCCTGGCCATTGAGGAGCCACATCCAATGGCTTCTCAAAACCTCGAGGCCGAGTTAAAGAGTCTACAGGGGCCCATTACACCGGCTCGTCGCACTGGTCCTCCTGATACCCAGGAGGCCTTTGTGGCCTGGTTCGTCCGTCTGCATTCTCACTTCAACAAGGGTGAAGTGTTCTCATCCTACCAGGAGCTCGAGAAGGAAGTGATCAATCATCTGGAAATTGCTATCAAGGCCCCCAATACTCGGGCCATGCTCCTCAAGATGGTCTTGCTCAACATTTCTGCCTTTTACGCTTCGAATAAGAAACTGAGCGGTAAGTAAAAATTGCGGTATCCAAGACCCATTCACTGACTTGTGATAGGTAACCGGACCGAGGCTGCTTTGCGTTCGTCTCACTTCATTCTACGTCTGAATGCTCGGTTCTTCTTGACGTTCTGTCGACTCCTTAAGAAGGAGCTGGAGAAGCTTATCGAAGAGCAGACATCCAGCGAACAGGATGGTACTGTAGACAAAGTCACGGCTTTGACAGAGAACACTCTTCCGTTCGTGCGCCTGTATGCCGCCTGCCTCGTGGCCTGTCGTACTGAGATTATGAGTGCCCAAGACACTCCCGAGCTCTTTGTTAAGGACATGTACCGAGGCTTTGCGAAGGCGCTGACTGGCCTTTGTGAGATGTACGGCAATGAGGATCTCAAGCTCGCCCCGTACCTGCTTGCCGAGGATCAGGAAGCGATAGGAATGCTCCCCCTTTGCGACCCACAGCTGCCGCAGAGTTGTCGCCTTAACTACAACGAGGATACTGGAAACCTGAAGCCGCAGGTCCAGCACTACAGCGGCCAGAAGCTCGACGCTCTCCAAGAGACCTTCTCCAGGGTCCTGGACACCATCAAGTGTGGTTTCTTCCTCGCCAACGATGATACGAACTTTCCGTTCACCTACACTTCGTCGCCAAAGGGACTCATCTTCAAATACGAAGAGGACTATACGCCAAAGCCTTCGGTCGTTGCCGCCGTTCCTCGACCTGCAATTGAGAAAGATGCCACCGTGGAGGTTTCTACGGCGCATCGTGAACGGTCTCAGCATTCTGGTCGTGTCAGAGATACACCTTCGAGTGCAGCACCGTCTGTACCGCCCCATAGTACAGCTCCGCCGCAGCCGCAGTCGCATCCTACTCCGGGTCGCAACAGGGTCCACGGCCAGTCCGAGTATGACTTGAGCTCCGATGCTGAGATGCTCCATATGGTCAACGACTTCCTGATGCCTCCCCAAGCCCATGTCTCTCCCACAGAGAGTCACGAGGATACTTCGTACGGAATGAATTCAGCCATGGCCAACGAGGTATTTGGTGTGCCCCGACCAACAGCCCACCTGCACTCGGATCTGCCACAGCCAAGACGTTCCCAAGCCTTCCGTGGAACATGATCTACACCCCGACGCCTCAGGGCAAGAACTCGGAGCTGACGCCACCAGACCGCGCCATTAGAGATGCAGCCGCTAGGAGGTCCTTCGATGGAAGTGCCCACCCCAAGAGGAACCTCTCGGTCTCCGGTCATGCTATGTTTGATGACCCCTTTGCAGATGTTCGCGAAAATCCTTACGTGTCTCGACAGCAGCAGCAGCAGCAGCAGCGGGCCTTCTCCAGCACTCCTGATATCACGGCCCATCAAGACCGCCTCCTGCAGGCTTTTGGCAAGCAGCCTACTGACTCGAGATCCATGAGCCGTGACTTTTCAGGAGGAGGCTACGGCCTGTGGGGAAGCCCATATGCGGATCTCAATCCCAACGCGCTGCAGCCTAGAGCATCGTCTACCCATGCTCGCTCCTTGAGTGGTTCCCGACCTCCATACGCCCAGAGCCCCAGCATGGCTCATGGTGCTGCGGGGAGCTTCTCACCGCCTTCAGGAACCCAGTTTTCTAATGTTAGCGGCATCTTCCAGAGCACTCCGTGCAACGGCATCAACTACACCGCGACCACTGCTTTCGGAAGAGGTCCCATTGCCGACATGCGGGAAGATCCTACCCACTACAAGAATCTGGTCAGACAGAACGGAGGTGCCGCTACTGACGGCTACACAGCCGGATACAACGACATGATTCTTCAGTCTGCCATGTCCGACGAGATGAAGCGCGCTTCCGGTCAAAACTCGCGTCACTGAAACCTACGTTGAAGCAGGATTTGTTCCTGACAACCCTCACTCAATGCCTGCCCAGCCTTCCCGGCTTCCGAGCGGCGTGGTTGAAAGATAAATACCCCATAATTGCTACTGCGATGTGAGTTTTTTTCCCTATGCGATTATGAATAGGCCTGTACTGACATATTTACGGAAAGCCTGATGATCGCCTGGTTGTTTATGACTTGCTCTGATAATTGTTATGAACGGATTTCACGGATTTCAGTTGGGAGAACGGAGGGACGATGGTTTAGGATTGTCAATTGGCTGGATTTGGTTCAGCCAAACCCTTTCTTCATTGTTTCTACCCAATATCTCATGACCCGGGGCTCACATCGTGGAAGATGTCCAGCCTAGATTGCAAGTTGATGCAAGTGTGATTGCCGCTCATTTGAAGCTCTTCAGGAGCCAAACGCCGTTGTTGAAACCGTTTTCCCTTTGACCCCCTCAACGCCAGACTGTTCTGAACAAAGAAACTGAAATGCTCAAGGCATTAGGTTGAAGGCAGGACGCCTAGGCAGAGGAATAGGTCTGCTTGGGGAAGGGGTAGCTAGGATACAGTTAGCAAATGATGCAAGAAATTCACAAAACCCAGTGCCAGCTGGTTGGGTGTACGGCGCAAGCAGCAGCGGGCCCATTGAAACCAAATGAATGTCATGACTGGGGAAACTCACGAAGGACCAAGCTCCTGGATGCTGAGCTTAGCGAGCCACTGGCCCATGTCGATAGACTCATCGAGCGACTTGCCGTCAACGAGGCCGGCCATCAGACCACCGGCAAACGCATCGCCAGCGCCGTTGGTGTCGTTGATCTGCTCCTTGGCAATGGGCTTGACGGGATACTCCTTGACGTTGTCCTCGCCCTGGACGGCAACCAGAGTGGGGTCGGTGCCCTGGGTGATGATGGCAACGCGCTTGCGCTGCTTGTTCTCCTTGGGCAGGTTTGCGAGGTGCTTAGCGATCTCCTTGAGGTCGGTGGTGCCGACGTTGTGAGACTCGGCGTAGGCGGCGGCCTCGGTCTCGTTGCCGATGATGTAGTCCCAGTAGGGGGCGCTGGCGTCGAGAGGGTCCTTGAAGAACTGGGGGATGAAAGGGGCCGACAGGCTGACGGCGAAGACCTTGTTGTTCTTGGCGGCCTCCTCAGCGAGCTTCTGGATGGCGGGGGGGCAGACGGTGAAGTGGTAACCGCCAATGTAGTAGGCCTGGGCACCTTCGACAAGCTTCCAGACGTCCGGGCGAGTCAGGTGCTCGAGGTCGTAGTGGTTGGCAGCGCCGAGGTCGGTGCACATAGAGCGGTTGTGGCCGGTGATGACAACACCGCAACGGCCCGTGGCGATCTTAGGGTCGACGCGGTACTCGACGCGGAGGCCGGCCGTCTTGACGGCGTCTTGGAGGATGGAGGCGTACTTGTCGTCGCCGACACCGCCGAGGTAGACGACCGAGTTGGGCGGGAGGATGTACTGGGCACCACGGGCGGTGTTCTGGGCGGCACCGCCGGCAATGAGCTTGGCGTCATAGTTGTTGAGGAGGTCCTCGTAAATTCCGAGGTGCTTCTCCTCAGCGAGGATAGCATCGTTGGCCTTGAGGCCGTACTTTTGGAGGAGGGCCTCGTCGCCGACTGCTTGGATGTCTGGATTGCGGTGTTAGTGGTGAAGCTTGGTTTTAAAGTGAGGGAGGGGTAAGGGCGCTGGAGGGGCTGTGCAGCACGTGGAGTAAGCTTGAATGGATGCAATCATGTCGGGCCCTTACCAAGCAGAGGGTTCTCGAGGCAGAGAAGACGGAAATCCTGGGGCGCCATATTGTTCAATTGAGGGGTTTGGGGGTGTAAGGAGGAAGTATGGAAGAGGCGGAAGTTGTGGGAGCATTCAAAGATTTTGAATTTGGTGCACCCTCGGGCGGTTTTCGACGAGGGGGAAGGGGGATGATGGTGGGGTTGCTGAACGAGGAGGTGGGGTGGTGGGAGAAACGTGCTTGGCCTCGAGCAGCAGCAGTGGCCGCAGGACCAGCGACGACGGCAGGGCGAGAACTCTGTTGTGGAGGAGCGTGGGCAGCAGCAGCTCGGGCTGCTGATGCTGACGATGAGAGGACAGGGGCAGGGATGGTGGGGCGGCGAGTTGCAAAGGTTCTCGTTACCGTCGCACTGAGTGAATTGGTGGACGTGCAGCGTTGGCTGAGACACCTCAAGGCGGTGACTCTCCGGCAAGCGAACATTGTTGCGAACGATTGCTTGACGGAATTGTAATGGCTGTCAAATCATCGATTCCGGGCCGCACCGTTTGGCGATAGTTGGAGGTTGGCAGAAAAGTGAAGCTGCCCTAGAATAGACCGCTAGGGTGGTCTTTCGTTTCCAAGTGTTTCTCACAATCAGATCATGGCACTCACTGGCCAAGTGATGGTTTCCTGTCACGGGATGGGACCATTTGTTGATTAAATTCCGATCGATCGATTGAATAGAGGAAAACCACAACCACCTATGGTAGCTGGATTTAGGAGGAAAGATCCCAAAGGCCACTCTCCTCCACACTCTGATTTAACTGTCCCAAACCCCGTTTTTGTTCTTATTCATCCACACACAAACTCCCAGCGTCTCACTTCATCACAATTGGGTGTGGCGTACGTTGAACTCCTCTTCCCTCTCTCGTAGCGGGATGGAGAATCATGGCGTGATCATTTCAATGCGCAAAATGCCTTTTAGTACTTGCCAACGAGCTACCAGATGAACTGCCCTCGCGAGTACCCTCAAAAGATGCCAGCCGCGTAACACCATCCCAATGGAACCCTGAAATCCAGCCAGACTATGACCTTTATTCCTTCGTCTTCTGGGTACCACGCAGCAGACCCGTCCGTCTCGCAGCAATAAGACCGGCCTTCTGTCCCTGGACAGCGTAGCGGGAGATGGTCGAGGCCTTACCGATATGCTGGTGGTTACCACCACCGTGGGGATGGTCGACGGGGTTCATGGCAACACCACGAGTTCTGGGCCAGTTGGCACCACGCTTGACGGCGAATTTGTGCTTGGCGCGAGAAGCCTCTGTAGGTGGTTGTTAGTGAATTGTTTCATTCAACTGCGTTGTCTCACGGGCTTTCTTCGTCCGCAACGAGGGGCCAAAACGTACTCAGGAGGGGCTTGTCGGTACGGCCACCGCCGGCAACGATACCAATCATGCCGCGGGACTCGGAGTGGACGACCTTCTTGGCGCCGGAGGGGAGCTTGATGCGGGTCTTGCCCTCATCAGGGTTGTGGCCGACAATGGTGATGTAGTTGCCGGAGGTGCGGCCCAGAGTGCCACGGTCGCCGATCTTGGTCTCGACGTTGGAGACGACGGTACCCTCGGGCATGGAGCCAAGGGGCAGGACGTTGCCGACGGTCAGAGCAGCCTTCTTGCCGGCGTAGATGAACTGGCCGGTGTACATGCCCTCGTTGGCGATGAAGGTCTCGGTGTGCTGCTTGAACTTGTAGGGTCACGGAAGACGACCTGGGCAAGGGGAGCGCCACGGCCGGGGTCGTGGATGATGTCCTTCACGATACCACGGAGGTAGCCGTGTCTCTCGGCATAGTCGAGGTTGCGGAACTTCGCGGGGGCCTGCACAATATCTGCGTTAGGAACAAAATGTCGTCGCATCGCGGGATTCGGTAGGATCGAGTCTCACCTTGTTCAGGCGGGTGTTGGCCGTGAAGATAGAGCCACGGCCCCTTCTCTGGTTACGGATCTGAGGGAGAGAGTGTCAGCGCTCATTGTTTCCCAAGTGCTCAAGTCTATCTCGAAAAAAAGTTCGTGGGTTTCGATTTCGACGAAATATCGGGCGCGGCGACGAGCAGCAATTCGAAAATGCGCCGGTGTTGCTGAATCCGATGGAAGATAGAGTGTTCAATAGAGCAATTACTTACAACGCGACCCATCTTGGCTGTCCTCTGGCGTTCGGAGGGCTAGGTGTTGTCGTCGGTGGTGATGGTTGGGAATTTCAAAAGTCACCTCGAGACAATTTTGCTAGAGAAGGAGGTCGTGGGCCGGGGGAAAGTGTGCCCTGGGCCCCACAATGGCTCCTTCCATTAACCGAGCCCGTCACGTGCATGGCGACGTCCAGCCAGTCTCTTGAGTGGGGTCCATTTATTTTTAAAGCTAGTGTTCGGACAGGAAAAATGCTGACGGCGCCGAGGCTCCACAAGTCCACTGCTGTTTGGCCAGCCCGCACCAGCCTCGAGTCGGAGAATCGCCTGCATCGCGTCACGATCTCCGCACTTTACCCTCACGTCCAGAACGTCTGGCTACGGCCTCAGCGACCTACGCCCACGATATTCTCAGTGCCATCATGCACTGCAGTACCTCGCTCGTCATGATTCATTCTATAGATGCAGATGGAAAGGGCATGGATATGATCCAGCTCATGTGCGCTCCTATTCTACTCGTTTCCTCAATTCTCTCACTATCTGCTGCGTTCTGTTCAAGGCTGCATGTTCTGACGTTCTGTCAGGGTAGCCGTGTCCGGCTGATAATCGGTGTGTTTTGTGGGCTGGCAAGTTTTAAAGACCGCTGAAAGAAGTTCCGTGAGGATGCCAGGACCGTGGAGCTCTAGGCGGCACGATGTGGTCCAGCGATCAACGTCATCCAAATCTTCGCCGGGGCGGGCGAGGGCTTCATTTCACCCAACGAACCATGAATTCTTACCGTACTCCCAACGCGGGCATTTTTTAAGGGGATGCGGCCGTGACCTGCCCTTGTAGAGCCGGGCACGCAGGATCAGCACACATTACCGCAAGCGATCGCCGTAGGTCCGGTAGCCTCCAGTGAGGTGCCGCAGCACAGATGGACAATGAAAACCGTTCGGTTTTCTATGATGGCGCGTCCATCAAGTTCGATGGATTAGCAGGTACTTGATGGCAATTTCGAAGGCTCTCATACTTCTTATTCGGGTGTGCACCCTGTTCCATTTGCATATCGCCCTATTCTGGACGTCATCTCGGGAACCCAGTTGGAGGCGGCACCAAGCCATAATTCCTGTTGATGATTTCAATTTGTGGATGAAAAGGGTGTCTTGGGACGCAAAGTTGCGTTGGACCGCGACTGCGTCAGGCTGGGCTGGCTGTGCTGCATAGTCATGTGACGGCGGACGATACAGTTTAGCGGATGGGTACGATGGTTTTGCCCGTATGCTCTGCGAGTGCCGAGCACACGCCTATGATACCATGATGTGGAAATGCAGCTTCCCATCATCGCAGCAAAGAGTTCACAAGGGCTGCGTCGGTTGCCCCTTTGGATCGGTGTGGTTTTTGATGGTCGGAGGGTAGCTGCCGTTGTGAAGTTGAAGAGAGGTGGTACAATAAGTGGGAGAGAGCGGACCCCGCGGACAAGGACAGATTTGGTCAACCAAATTCGTTGGGAATAGCGTCAACTTCGACAAGCCGAAAAGCGTGGTATGTGACGAGCCGGCTGATGTCTTACCTGCACGCAACAATCAAGTGCAGCCATATCGCAGGGTTTAGGGAACCGTCAATACACTTTTGCACAGGAAGCCATCATCTCCGCAACGCGAATGATTCTTTTGTTCTGACAGGCTGGTTTGCTCTGGTTGATGGTCGTTGAGAAGTTGGAAAAGGTGTGGTGTTGAGTGTAAGGTTCAGTCTGGGATATACCACGGTAGCCCGTCAGGTGGGGTACAGCCAACGTGGGTTCTCCAAGATCTTCGAGGGCAACCTGGAAAGCAGGTAAAGCACAATCCACAATATGTTCCAGAAACGGAATGACAGGCAGCAGGCATAAGACAGATGGAAGGAAGCTGCTGCTACCTTGGGATTAGGAAGCACACCGGGTATGCGGTAATACGCCATTCGTATCTAGGTTGAAAGGCAACTTAGAATGAGGATGTCGTAGGTAGTTTAGATTTCAAATGACTCGGGCCTATCAGAGAATCAGGCTCAAAGGAGATGCGGCTCAAACGTGACTTAATTAGTCCCGTGGGTGGGCGTTCGAAACTTCCTCTACTCAACATACACCGGCGCGCCTAAACTTCCTCCACTTACCACGATACCCACCCCATCCAACTTCGACACTACCACACACACAGCAGCCATCAACGCGGACCAAAAAATTCCCAAGATGGCCGATGACGATTCTTCGGACCTGTCTTCGTTGTCCTCATTGTCGCCTGTTCCGTCCGACATCGAATCCGATGCTGAGCCGGAGTCTGAGACGAAGAAGGGCGGCAGCATCTTGAAGTTCTTCCCCAAACTCGCCAAAGGCAAGAAGGCAGCAGTTGCGACTAAGGAGCCCTCACCGCCACCTCGCAAGCGTTCGCCCTCGCCTCCACATGAGAATGCCTTCGAAGATAACCCAGACATCGCTGTATGTCAATTGTCGCGTTAATCCGCGCAATAAACGCGTCGATTCGCGTACTTCACGTCATAGGACCTGCTAACGTACCTCTAGTTTCTGGTCATGTTCCGGAGCCGATTCAACGATGCCTTCCCGAAATCTCTTGCCAACTTTGGCCCCCAGGAGCTCGAGCGCGACATTATTGACAATCCTCCCGGCGAACGGGTCGAAGCCTTCCTCTGCGCACTCCTCTTCTTGCTTCTCAACCGCAAGCAGGATGTCAAGTACGTTGACGCGCCACCGAACAAGAGCTCTACACAGGTTGCAAACTGACTTGCTAGGGCTGGCCAATACTCCAAGGCACTGGACGACGCCTTGTCCGCCCACAAATCGCAGTGGCCGAGATCATGGGGAGGCGTCAACCCACTCTCAGGGAGCAACACTTTTCACAGCATTACGCCTACCCAGAGGGTAAGTGCAGAATCATTCAAGCTTTCCCTTGCGTATTTGGAGTTTCGCAGACTGACTTTCCGCTCAAGCTATCCCTCCTCCGCGCGCTGGCCCTATGGTCACTCTCGGCATCCGAAACTGTCAAGACGATCATCAATAAATCTTATAAAGGCAATCGCCACGAAGATGACCTGACCCAGCCACTCTCGGTTCAGCCATGGGGATCAGACAGCGACAAGAGACGGTACTATCTAATTGAGGGCTTGGACGATACAGCTTTCCGCGTCTATCGAGAGAGCAACCCGGCGGGTTTTAACCGAACCTGGTGGTCGGTCGCTGGGTCAATTGATGAGATCAAAGCCCTTGCAGACAAACTAATGACAAAGGATGG